CCGAAGACATTAATTTTTGACCTCGGAAAACAGTCTATTACTCTTAGGCATTGGGTATAATTGGTAATTCATTTTGTTGACAAATATGCAGACCTCAAATAAATATATATATAATGTTGGGCTCTTATGAGCTATTCACTGTTTCAATACGTTACCCTTGAAGCGTATTCGTTTTCTATTCAACTTCGCCCACGTTCAAAGAAAACCAAAATATTTATGGTAAACTAAGGATATTGTCACTACTGTGATAAAAGAAAATTAAATAAACAAAAATCATATTAATTAATTTACATACTGTTTCGATTCGTTTTAGGCGTCAGTTGGCCTTTTTCTATTTTGATACTTGTGTTGCCTTCTATATTCTGGAATTATTTTGTATTATGTGATTTTGGTGTAAAATATTTTAAACTTATTTTAACAAGCTAACTGTGGTGTAGCGTCTCCGTTGTGTAGTTGGAAGACACTCGCCAGGCGTTCCGCGAGTGCTTTGTCATGGGTTCGTATCTTGGCCGGGGAGGAATTACTGGGCGCAAATCCTTAATTGTAGCCTCTGTTTAACTCAACAGTAAAATGGGCACTTGGTCGTAAAAACGATTTTTCGTGGGGGTCGTATTCCAGGGACCATAGGATTGAGGACTGCCCGAAACGCTACGCGTACTAGTGTTTGTACAAGAATGTAACAACTCTTGTATATATCTCAGAAAAAAAGACCTATTACCAGGCTTTCTCTATTGTTTTCACTTTTCACGCTTCTCTGGTAACATGCTACACTTTGCCAAAGCCTATTAATGATTGAGTATGGATTTCAACACATGAAGAGCCTTTTACTGAACAAAACACCGCATTTATATACCTCATCCTAGCCTCTCCCTCCTATTAGTTCCAGTGAACCATTCGTGTTTTTTTCCCGAACCAGATAAAGAGCTCTGCCTCTCGGAGGGACATCTTTTTGTATTATGCATAATTGTTTATTTTCTACAACTTTTCCATTTAAATATTGATTAAGCATGTTTTACTATTTAATTATTTAATGGATTTGTTTTTAGAAGTAAGTTTTCTTTGTTGACCAAACCACACACTAGAAAGTGAAGAGACGACAACGTTTCGGTCTGTCCTAGACCATTCTCTTTTTTTTTTGTATAAATACATTAGGTACATCTGCATTTGTGCAGCTACCCTAGACTACATGAAGGGGGAGTACAGTGTGTCAAGAAGCTAGCTACATGATGCTAAAAAATCCTCATCACACAGGATGGTTAGCCATACAGAATGTGATCAGTAGTCTGCACTGACAGACTCGGGTTCGTTATGAGGATATCATGAACATAAGAGTGAATAAGGTAGCAGTGATAATAATAGTCCCCATCTCTCAGGATGGTTAGTCATACAGGGCCATATGCTTAGTAGCCTGCACTGGCAAATTTTGGGTACACTGTGAGGATATCTTCAAGAATACGAGAGTGAATTAAGTAATTGCAAAGCTCCAGGTACCTCATGCCAATTGGTCCGAAAGGTCTAATAACTGGGCATTCTGTGACGTAGTGTGGGAGATCATGCCGCAGTTCCTGCTCACAGAGTTTGCACTTGGAGTGCTCAGGATTAGGGGATCCGTCACCTGTAGCCACCTGCCACAGGTAATGGTAACCCAACCTGATCCTGGCAACCACTGTGTCGCACAGTCTGGTGGACGTTTTGTGCTGCCCGTAGAGATAGGTTGCAGATCTGAACATATCATAGCTTTTTATACTAGTGGTTTCAGGTCGTTGTTAGTCAATAATTTCTTTCTTATCAGAACTGAGTGTTTGAACCAATATAGTTTTGACAGTAGAGATGGCGATACCTAGATCTTATTCAACTTCATCTTTATTGCACGCTAATTTGGCTGCAATGTCTGTCTCATTATGATGGGTTATATATATGTGTCAAAGTATCCATACAAAGGAGATTCGAGACCCTTTACTCTGTGCAGCAATTAGGTAATTTATAATTCGTAGTATGAGGTTCTTGCTGTCGATCTTCCAAGAGAAGTTTTCGATTGCTTGAAGAGCAGACTTTGAATCACAAAATATTATACCTCCACCAATGTTTTTTAATACATTGGTAGCTAGTTGTAATGCTGCTAGTTCTGCTTGTGTGGAGGTCAGCCAGTTGTTTAACCTGACACTGACAGTCTTTGTACAAATATTATTTCAATAAAACCTACATGCTGCTGCAGTCCGTCCAGTAGAAGACTGGACTGAGCCGTCGGTGTAGACACAGTGTTGTGAGGTCTTAAACTCTCGATGGAGGAGGCAATTGTTTCGAGTGTGACTGCTTTGAGAAGAGCAAGATTTTTATTATCTTTCTTAGTGACAGGTGTGTATGGTACTTGAATGGTGGGGTACAGATAAAGAGGAATGTCAGAGACAGGTAGATTGCACTTAAAAGGAATGTTGAGTTTATTGAGATTGCAAGCATTTTTTCTCAGCCAATTATCATAAACGGAGTGAGTTGGTATGTCGGCACCAGTCAATAGGGTGTTAACAGCACTAAATAATTTGTCTCTGAGCAAAGCAGAAGATGTAGGGTCTCTCATGTCTTTAAGACAAAAAGTCGTGTTGACTTGCATTATTCTCTCTAGTATGGTTGGAAGCTTCAGTTCTTCCCTCATGTTGATGATTCTTGTGCACCTCGGGACACCAAGAATTATACTCATGGCTTCACGCTGTACTACTTCAAGTTTGTCCAACACAGAGGAGGGAAGTTAATTAAGTGCAAAGCATTATAATCATCGAGAGATCTAACAAACATCATATAGTATAGTCTAGCATATTTAATATTGATACCAATATTCTTACCAGTAAGTGTTTTCAGTGGTTTTAGTCTTTCTTTTAACCAGCGGTGTAGATCGTTTACAATGTTACTGTTAATAGTAACTCCAAGGTATTTGTACTGCCTACACGTTTCAATGTTCTGATTGTTGACCCTGAAAGTTATAGGGACATGAGTTTTCTCCTGGGGATGGAGAACTCCTGATTTAGTTATAGAGATAACAAGACCACATTCAATGCTTTTAACAGTGAGTGAATCAAGTAGAGCTTGCAGTCGAGTTTGGGTGTTTGCAACAATGCATATGTCGTCGGCATAACAGACGACGGCTCCGTCATGTAGTGTGGGAATAAAAATTGTTAATTTGTGCATCAGAACATTGAACAGTGTGGGACTTAGCACTCCACCCTGGGGTGTACCCAACTCAAAGGGTGCACAAAGTTTGCTTTTGACCCCCCCTTGAAAAGGACTGAAGCAGTTCTGTTACTCAGGTACCCCCTGAGCCATGTCAACAGTCTTCCCTAAACTCTGAAAGAGGCTAGTTGTTCCAATATTATTTCTCTGTTTGCTGTATCAATGGCAGTTTGGAGATCAATAAATGCCGCCTGAGAGCTTGGTTCCTCTTTGATTAAATATTCAGCAAAACAAGTTTGTGTGCTTCTTCCAGAAAGGAAACCATACAGGTTAGGAGCAAGGTGGGGCTTGATTTGAAACATTAGTCAGTCGAGTATAATCCTCTCAAGAATTTTACACATGCACGACGTCAGTGAAATAGGTCTGATTTTTTGTGAATTAGGCTTGGGTATGGGTATTATGAGTCCCCTGTGTCCAGCGGTCAGGTAAGACATCCTGCCTTAGACTTTGATTAAACAATTCTAGCAAAGGGCTATTTAGCAGCTCAGCAAGTACTCTCATGGTATTGTATGTGATGCCATCCACTCCAGGAGAGGTAGCCTTCCCTTTCTTGAGTGCTTTTTTAACATCAAAGGGGGGTTGAACCATTCTCAAGTCGAATGGTCCAATTGAATGGTCCAGGACGGACCGAAACGTCGTCGCCTCTTCACTTTCTAGTGTGTGGTTTGGTCAACATATTTCAGTAACGATATTGTGACTCCTCATCTGCATAAGTTTTCTATCTCACGTCATTCTGTTTTCTGAATAAAATCAAGCACAGTTGATGAATTAAACTTCTTATCGAGTATTTAGGGTACATATATATATATATATATATATATATACATATATATGAAAGAACGTGAGTAACCCGTCACCAGCTATAGTTGCCCTTGGGAGGTGGTGATCTCTGGCGGGGGGAGGGGGGGGGGCTTAAATACCCGAAATTACCATCTCTTAGGTGTCTGAGTTTGGTGCAGTGGGTTAAAGGTGTACCCATTATGCCAGTTGCTGTGAGGCTTCTGTGCTTTCTAGGGTTCGAGTCTCCTGGTGGGAAAGTGTTCTAAAGTTGTACAACTTCACTTGCGTGTTTAGGAAAGTTGTACATATATATATATAAAAGTCACTACAATATATTATATATATTTTGTCCATATATTTTATTTAAAACGTCATTACACAAAAAGGGTTACTACATTGGTTACATGCAGGGTACAAGGCTACTTGTCACAGGTTGTTGAGTTCCTCCATCTCCTCAGTTGGCGGGCAGGAACAATGGATGCAGTTTGCATTTCCTCTCTGGATTTTACCACACTAAGGCGCATATATATATATATATATATATATATATATATATATATATATATATATATATATATATATATATATGTATATATATATGTATCTGTATATATATATATATATATATATATATATATATATATATATATATATATATATATATGTATATATGTATATATGTATATATATATATATATATATATATATATATATATATATATATATATATATATATATATATATATATATATATATATGTGTGTGTGTGTGTGTGTGTGTGTATCAAACACTAAGGCCGCTCCGTACCCACTGAAGCACCAATAGGGTCATAAATGTAGGCAGGTGGGGAGACCCACCTGCCTCCTACAGCCCTCTACACTCCTAGTTCAGTGGCACAGGTACTTCCTCAATCCTTGAACATATGCAAGGATCGCGCTGTCACACAAAATATATGTCCTGCTTGAATGGTTTCCAGGCATCTTTTTTTTTTAAGAACGCTCTAATGCTCCTTTAATTTCATTAGTAAAATCAGCTGTCTATAATATTATAAATGTGTTTTTCTTCTTTTTTAAGTTCTAATAGAGCTTCGGTACCTCCTAAGTTTTAATTTCATCTCTTAGGTTTATGTTTTCTTCCTGAGAAGAAAAGATCGACAAAGAGTAACATTTTAAAAAGATATAGAAGTATCTATCTTGAAATTTCCTCTCGTTTCACCTTTCTTGCAAGATCTAACTTAATCCGTCTTTTTTTCTCAAAATCTCTTTTTCTTGTTCCCATCCATTGTAATAGAACCAGCTTTTGAAGCGACCTTTATTCATAAATTTAATTGCAAATTCGATACATTGAACCTAAATGTCAGGAAAATAAAATTAAAAAGGCTTCATGTGCAACAAAGCTAGGAGGCGTCGTTTGAAGAGATGGAGTTGAGCTGTGGTGTATTAAGTGGTATTCTTCAGTTTTCCTTATTCACTACCAGTTTAGCACTGTTAGGTAAGTTCCTCCCCTTCCTTTTCCTTAGCTTTGCGCCGGTGATAGCGGGAGGCAGCAGGCATCAGGAGCCAGAGCAGCGAACTCGTTAACACCGTCGCTGCCAGCACCCATATACTGATAGCGTAGCTCTGACTCATATCCCGGATCATACCTGCGAGAGGGAAAACATTCTTGGTTTAAAAAATAAAAAAAATAATTTCATGAGGGAAATTGGAAACAGACTCCAGTTGCTGTACATAATTTTATAGCGGTCGAGGGGGAAAATAACTGATGATTATAGTAGTAACTGACCCTCACTGGTTTGTGCCACTTAAATATCCTTCATGCTTCACATGTGGAAGTTGGATGAGACTAGCCCCAGCCGTCTAGCCTCCAGTCTGAGACAGACAGAGAAACGAGATTTTATCTTTTATAGATAGATGTATAAAATGGAGTGATTGTCTTTAAAAAGTAAGAATCCAGATTCTTCAGGCTATTCTCACCCAACCTTACACGATGATACTTGGGGTAATATGAGTGTGTGTGGCGCATGTGAGTGTGTATGTGGGGTATCTATTCAGAATAAGCCCAGTGACTGCCTCCCTTTAAGAAATATCGGCACGTCACTATGCGGCTTTCATAAAGACTGAGGTAAAAATGTGTTTTCTGTACGGTTTTCAGATTTTTCAATGTTTAGCAGAGAGAGAGAGAGAGAGAGAGAGAGAGAGTAGCCGAAACCTCAATCTAGTAATCACATAAAATGGGATTAATCCCTGGGAGAATGCCTGCGTGTGACACCAGACAGGTGATTAGTGACTTATGCCTTCCAATTTCTTACAATTACCTGATTAGCTGGTTTCTTTTTTTCTGGGAGTTTAACATTTTGCAGCAATGACATAAAAAGCTGCAACCAGAAGTGTACACAGTACGATTCCGCTTCTTTTTGGATTCAGAACAAGATCTCCTCAGAGAATACAACCTTCACTCTATTTATAGTTCTTCAAGTTTCTCCCGTATGGGTCACTACTACCTCTCTCAGCCCTATGGGCTCGTCATGGGTCTGGATATATATATATATATATATATATATATATATATATATATATATATATATATATATATATATATATATATATATATATATATATATATATATGTATGTATGTATGTGTGTGTGTGTGTGTGTAAGTGTGTGTGTGTGTGTGTGTGTGTGTGTGTGTGTGTGTGTGTGTGTGTGTGTGTGTGTGTGCTTGCGCGCGCGCGCTACGCTGACAACATAATTCTCAGTACCACGAGTCAATGTCCTGTAGGAGAGAGTTCTCTTTCTTGCAGCTGCGACACTTAGATATCCTTCATTCAACCGTAATCATCCGAACACATTCTACTCAAAGAACACTAGTTCTTGTGAACGTCCTTCCTTCCCACCACGACCCCCTCCCACCTACCACACACGAGTTCCGGCAGTCGATTGTAAGCCCTCTGGATTCTCATCTGATGGCGCTGTTCACCTAGCACTAAAAAAGTACGTGAACAATACCTGAACTAGTACACGTATCTGAACAAGTACACACGTACACACCTGACATTTGAGATTCGGGACCAAAGAGCCAAAGCTCAACCCCCGCAAGCACAATTAGGTGAGTACACACTCACACACGTGCTAGCAGCTCGATTCTGCCGACATAGAAGTAAATTACAAATAGTAAATACACGGGGAGACATCTCCCGTCACGCAGGGAGCAGCCGCACCTCCGCAGATCTCCAGTATCATCTATTGATACTGGTAATGACTCAAAAGGGCCACCACTTACGGGCTATTCATGCCCGTGCGACTTTTTGGGTGGCTTAATCTTCGTCAATCAATCAATCAGTAAATACACACACTCACAGACACGGGACGAAGGGAGAGGAGTACCGAGCAGAGGAAGCTTCTTGAGTTTTAATATTTATGAAAAATCATTTCCACTGTGAAACACTGCCTGCAAATAATTGATTCAGAGGCATGCTGAAGAAACCAGATAATATTTATACAGACAACAGATAAAAGATTAATTAGCCATAAATCGGAGATTAAAGCACTCTGTTGATTCGCAGGTGATCAGTGGTCCAGGTCTCTGCGGTGACCTGACCTCAGGCAAAAGTGATAATGAAGTGAGGTCACTTACCTGCCTCTCAACTGAACCAAAAAAGACAATTTAATATCAAGGCATTTCAAAACTAAAAAAACTAAATAATTTAATTGAAAACAAATAAAAATACTAAGTAGTGAATAAGTAGCAACAAGATAAATGTAGTGTTGGAGCAGAGCTGCAGTGCAATTTGAATCTAAATATAAACTCCTTAACATTCCCTGTGCCATCTGTGGTGGTACTCAGTAAGCTAGTTACGTAACCCCAGGCCGCAAGGACAACAGCGAGTCACACGTCATCAAAACAGCGGATAAGACTAATGTTGTTACCTAATACTCTGCCCTCGACGAAGCGACCAACTTGTTGTTTACTAGTGACAAATGATGTGTGCCAGAGTATGTGTGTAAAGTGAATTAATATATTTAGCATTCACTTACACCAAAATAATCTAGGACAATAAAAAAGAAAGGTATAGAGAAATGAAACGCTAAGGAAAATTTAAGGAAACAATAACTGCAAAAAAATAAAAATAAGGAGACATTAGATAATAAATTCGGATAATTAATATGAACAGATATTGCTGAACAAGGCAGTATTGGCAGGGATTGAAATTGCAATTGAAATTAATTTAGATGTAAATACACACAAAGGGATGAGGTAGTGCAAGCTATTCTCACGACTTTCAATACAATAGCAAAGATGACCAGAACACAGTTTTGAGTATAAACGGATCACATCCCACTTGACTTCAATTCAATTCCCAGGCAGGGTGAAAAGTCAAGAGTTAAGCTTAACTATTGCAGGTTGCATCCTGGAGAATGTCAGTCGTTACTCACTAATGCTTCTGCACAGCAACATAAATGGGAAAGATGTCTGAATAATGTTTAAATTCATGTATTGCAAACTAACA